CACACAGGAAGGTCAGCATTATTTTGTACTTGTGAAAACAGAAGAAAGGAAATTACTTGAATAGGGCCACACAAGTGAGACAATGAGAGGCAGGGATGCAAAACCCAGGCTTTCTATCTACGGCATGCTGTCATGGATTGTACTGCATCTCAACAAATACTGGCAGAGGATATGTTTTATATTTTTATGCATCTCCTCCAGTTATCAGGTATATTGATGCATACACAAAAAAGTCTGTGATGAATCATCTTCCTATGTTGGAGCTTCACACTGCATCTCGCACTCATTCTGAGGAAGCCAGATCTCTGATTAGTCTCTCTAGACATTTCCCATGCCTAAAACTAGTTTTTCAAACAGATTTTAGAGAACAACTGAATTACGTCACCTAGATTATCATGTCCATTTTTTAGAGGCTTGGGATCACTTTTAAAACATGAAATTTTTACCTTAAAAATGAGCAAAGAATGACAATTTATATCAGCTGAGTTAGTGGCCTAAGGGCTATATTATATCACTGCTTTTGCAGTGTCTAGTATCCAGCAAGAATGGGCTGATCCATAGCATAAACATCCAGTAAAGAAACACCACGTACTTTGACTATGAACACCATAAACGGGCAGCAGCTATATCAAGAATTTGCTGCCAATAATCTTTATAATAGTAGGGAAATCCCAGATTCAGTTTAGGGTTTTCTTCTTTATCCATGGACTTTGGAAACATTACTACATTTAATGGCAGACAATGCAAATATGATTTCATAGTTTTCTGAAGAGTTTTTTTTAAAGTAGTGCTCTTGATCTTTACCAGCTGTTGAGTCAAATTTGGCATAAGCCTGTTTCTTTGTGTACAGCCTGCAAACAATGTGGATTGTAAAATGAGCAGGGCACAAACCCAGTTTCAATTGCAGGATGGGATTCCCCTATACTTATTCAGGGAAACTTGATTGATAACTGTGTTTGCTATTGGGTGAGGCATGGAGACCAAGCTCGTTGTATTTAACCTTTGAATACCAAAATATCACATGAGCTCTAAAGCCAAGCCATTAAAATAAGGAAGGAGAAATAAATCATAATACATAATAAAAGCTTGTTTCTTCCTTTGCCATCACTCAACCCACAATTGTATATTTTCATGCTGTTTAAATTTTCATGTAAGCCTTGCATAAACATCCAATGTTCTTTTGTTTTTTTCCTTTCCTGTACTGGACAGAAGTACAGTTTGTAGTATAGTAATGAAACCTGGATATTGCCTTATATAAGGCAATGCAAGGACATCTTGCTGAATATTCCTGGTAAACTAAGAATGATTCATAAAGTTGTAATAAGATCCAAAATCTAAACAGTTCAGTGTGAAGGGGGTTTAGGTCACATACCTGAAAATAGTTACATCATTATTTCCCTCTTAAGTACAATCAATGCTTTACTCTGATAAGGAGTACACAAGGAGGTCAAAGCTGCTTCCAAATATTCAAGGGACATAGCCACCTTAAAATCTAGTCTGCTGGTCAAACTCAACAGTTTCAGTTGTTAAACCTACTCAAAACCTTCTGACAATACCCACAGTTTGAAAAATGCAGAAAAACGCAAATTAATTGTTTTTCATTCCCCTATTGCTTTATGAAGAACCACACAACCTCAGGGTTGACTCTGCAGAATAGAAATCTGCTATACGACCTTATGGGAACAATTCATAAAGCAAAAACCAATTTTCTATAATACTCACTTGTAGCAATAGCAGCTACAGGAAACTTCTGATAGTTTTTAAATTACAGTATCTCATTATCACATTAAGCAAATTGCTAGGAAAAAAAGGCATTGATTCTCAACTTCGTGACCTGACTTGCTATATTAGAAGGCAGCAGACATATATTGCACATAGACAACGACAAATTGTAGCCCCTGGTTAGCGTCCCTATAAAGACTATTGAGTTATAAATCATGTTGAAGAGAAACTGCTCCCTTTTAAATTACCTCAGGTAGGAATGGGATTGAGGCCACAAATCGTGCTTTTTTGGGAAATTGAAGTTACTTCAAAGGAAAAGGAAGGAGTTTTCTCTAACAAGTTAGTCATGAAACTGTAGAGTTCATGTAGCTAAAATGCTTTGCACCAGATTGAAGATCACAGAGTCACAGAATCATCAAATTTTTTAGGCTGGAAAAGATCTTTAAGATCATCAAGTCCAACTGTTAACATAGCACTGCCAAGTCCACCACTAAACCATGTCCATGAGCACCACATCTATTTGTCTTTCAAAGACCTCCAGGGATAGTGACTCAACTACTTCCCTGGGCAGCCTGTTCCAATGCTCGACAACCCTTTGAGTGAAGAAATTTTTCCTAATATCACATCTAAGCCTCTCCTGACACAACTTGAAGCCATTTCCTCTTGTCCTGTCGCTTTTTACTTGGGAAAAGAGATGGACACTTGCCTTGCTACAACCTCCTTTCAGGTAGTTGAGGAGAGTGATAAGGTCTTCCTTCAGCCTCCTTTTCTCCAGGCTAAACAAGCCCAGTTCCCTCAACCCCTCCTCATAAGACTTGTGCTCTACACTCTTCACAACCCTTCTTTGGACATGCTCCAGCACCTCAATGTCTTTCTTGTAGTCAGGGGCCCAAAACTGAACACAGTATTTGAGATGTGGCCTCACCAGTGCTGAGTACATGGGGACAATCACTTCTCTGGTCCTGCTGGCCACACTATTTCTGATACAATCCAGGATTATATTGGCCTTCTTGGCCACCTGGGCACACGGCTGGCTCTTATTCAGCCAGCTGTCAACCAATGCTCCCAGGTCCTTTTCCACCAGGCAGCTTTCCTGACAGTCTTTCCCAAGACTGTAGCATTGCATGGGGTTGTTGCGACCCAAGTGCAAGACCTGACGCTTATCCTTGTTGAACTTCATACAATTGGCCTGAGCCCATCAATCCAGTCTGTCCAGATCCCTCTGAAGAGCTTTTTTAACCTCAAGCAGATCAACACTCCCGCCCAACTTGGTGTCATCTGCAAGCTTATAGCAGATCAACACTCCCGCCCAACTTGGTGTCGTCTGCAAGCTTACTGAAGGTGCACTCAACCCCCTCGACCAGATGATTGATAAAGATATGAAACGGCACTGGCCCCAGTATGAAGGTGCACTCAACCCCCTCGACCAGATGATTGATAAAGATATGAAACAGCACTGGCCCCAGTACTGAGCCCTGGGGAACACCACTTGTGATTGGCCACCAACTAGATTTAAATCCATTCAGCACAACTCTTTGGTCCTGGCCATCCAGCCAGTTTTTTACCCAGGAAAGAGCATGCCTGTCCAAGCCATAAGCAGTCAGTTTCTCCAGGAGACTGCTTTGGGAAACGGTGTCAAAATGCTACGTTGGTGTTAATTTGTCCTGTTGAGATCATTATTGTTCCCAGGAAGAAAATATTTTTGTCTTAAAAAGTCATCAATGCATTCCAGATTCTACCAAATACAACTAGCAAAAACATTACATCGAGAATATTAACTGAATCCTGTCTTTAACATCACAAATGATTCACTGATTCAATTATACTGTAAATTAAAATAAAAAATACACCTTTCTCAGTTTTCCAACCTTCAGTATTGGAAAAGTTGTAAGACAAACTCTTGAAGGCAAAGAAAAGGATCCAGACCACCAAATCTCAGGCTTGTGGCTGTATCTTAGTGATACAGGGAATCAGTCTTCCTAACGTACATACTCAAGATATGACAGAGAGATGTCCTTTAAGGTGCCCAGAGGTAAATCCTATCCCCTAGACTGAATCCCACTGAGAAAGGTTGCTATTGTTTTTTACATGCCGAGTCTAGTAGTTAGACACTCTTTGGAGGAATAAAGTAGAACAGTAAATCACTTCTATTTTAAACTGTCAATGCAGCAGAACAAGAAGCATAAATTATTTAAAATGCATGAGGGTTTGCATTCATAAGTACATAAAAATTCTTGAAAAGTGCTCAGGTACATCTAGACATTAATCTCTTATGACTATAATTTATAATTCTAAAAACATTATCTGAATGGATAGAGACTACAGAATTTGAATATGGGAATATAAAACAACTTTAAATGTAGGGGGGGTGTCTCTCAATCTAGTATTTTATAAGCATCTTTATTCCTGATGTTTTCTAGGATACACGTATAAAATATAGAATAAATTGCTGTAACGTGTACTAACTTAATACCTGGGTAGTACCACCACATTTAGACCATCTTTAGAATGTCTCATTGTCCTAAACCCTGACATCTTCAAGCAGAAGTCTGTACAGACAGCCAAATTCTTTCACACTTTCAATTCCACCTCTCTGTAGCAAGTACATAGTTATCATACTCTACTAAGACTGAAAGTCAGATTCTGTATTAATTTATCCTTTTTTTTATTAATGTTTCAATTTGCTCTATAGTTACCGTTTCAGAATGCAGAAGCAGAATATCTCCATGCTGCCCCTTTGTGGGGTTATTTGAAAACACACAAAATTCAAAGTTATTAAAGAGGTGGTGTGGTTCACGCTCCACTTTTACGCACATACATAAGTCATTAAATTTAATACTGCAGTTACATTCATCCCACAAAATGAAAAACAGGTTTTACTCAAACTTAATTCATTTATTCACAGGAAAGTCAGTGTTTCATATATTCCTAACATAATTAGCAATTTCTGAAATCTCCCATTCCTCCCTCCCTCATCTCCTTGGCACCACTGCTGTTGTAAAAACTCGCTCTCCAAAATAATGAATATAAACTAAATCTTTTTTTTTTCAAATACAAAAGGCAGATTTTAAACAGTACTAACAACAGCAGTTGGAAATAGCTTAAGATGCATTTTCTTACTCCCTTCCTAACAGTCATCTTTGACAGGAATATAAAGTGAATGTGCAAAACAGCTGAAATATTTTTCCTTTTTTGCTTTCTTACTTTTCTTAAAAAGATTTTGGCAGCATACAACTACTATATTAATAGATAGCAAATAGGAATGAGTAAGAGGTTACCTGAGAACATGAAAGTCCACATTCTTCAATCCTGGGAATAATCTGACAATCAGAATTCCAAAAAAGCATTATTAGAAGAATCTGAACATGAATACTTATCATCATAAACTGAAAAAAAAAAAAAGCAAAACTTCAGAAGAAACCTTCTACTCTGACAGTTCTCCCTCTCATGCCAAAACTTTAATATGAATTTTAGTCCCTCCCACAGCACCTCTGAGCTCCTCCCTCTAAAACTTTCCAGAGACAGAAAATTGCTTATTGTGGGAAATATAAGCATGTTCAACTCATTTATTATGTTCCGTAGTGAATAATGGGAAACATGATTTCCTGACAATCACAGTAAAAGCTTTTTCCTTCCTGATTTCATCATGTCAGCTTTAGATCAGTTCTAGCAAATTTCTTTTCTGTAAATTCTATTTATGAATAGGAATTTTGTTTCTCAAGTGATGTACCAGGCAGATTCACTGGAATACAAATGCATTCTTATGTCTACTTATTTTCCTGGTTTTCTAATGCACTGAATAAAAAGAAAAACAGTTTTGCTGAAGGGGCTAATCTTGGAAGACTGGTTTCTTGTTTTTCATCAGCAGGGAAACCTGATTCTTTTACCCTATAAATCTGTGCCTTGAACTTATTTCACTTATTATTTAATTGTATCAATAGAAGCCTCTTGTTCTATGGCCTGTCTCCAGTTTTTGGATTTTCAACACACTCAGGAAGTATGCACGCTTTGCCGAAGACGCTGAAGACCACCAGCTCTGAAAGCGGGGTAGGAGTGAGTCACAAC